GCAAAAATCTTCAATAAAATACTGACAAGCCGATTGCAACAGCACATCAAAAAGCTTATCCACCATGATCAAGTAGGCTTCATCCCGGGGATGCAAGCCTGGTTCAACATACGCAAGTCTATAAACGTAATTCACCACATAAACAGAACCAAAGACAAAAACCACATGATTACCTCAATTGATGCAGAGAAGGCCTTTGACAAAATTCAACAGTCCTTTATGCTAAAAATCCTCAAAACGCTAGGTATTGATGGAACGTATCTCAAAATAATAAAAGCTATTTATGACAAACCAACAGCCAATATCATACTGAACGGGCAAAAACTGGAAGCATTCCCCTTGAAATGTGGCACCAGACAAGGATGCCCTCTCTCACCACTGCTATTCAATATAGTATTAGAAGTTCTAGCCAGAGCAATCAGGCAAGAAAAAGAAATAAAGGGCATTCAAATAGAAAAGGAGGAAGTCAAATTGTCTCTATTTGCAGACGACATGATTGTATATCTAGAAGACCCCATCGTCTCAGTCCCAAATCTCCTGAAACTGATAAGCAAGTTCAGCAAAGTCTCAGGATACAAAATCAATGTGCAAAAATCACATGCATTCCTATACACCAATAACAGACTTAAAGAGAGCCAAATCAAGAACAAACTTCCATTCACAATTGCCACAAAGAGAATAAAATACCTAGGAATACAACTAACAAGGAACATAAAGGACCTCTTCAAGGAGAACTACAAGCCACTGCTCAATGAAATAAGAGTGGACACAAATAGATGGAGAAACATTCCATGCTCATGGTTAGGAAGAATCAATATCGTGAAAATGGCCATACTGCCCAAAGTAATTTACAGATTCAACGCTATCCCCATCAAGCTACCAATGACCTTCTTCGCAGAACTGGAAAAAATCACCTTAAACTTCATATGGAACCAAAAGAGAGCCCGCATAGCCAAGTCAATTCTAAGCAAAAAGAACAAAGCGGGAGGCATCACACTACCGGACTTCAAACTATACTACAAGCCTACAGTAATCAAAACAGCATGGTACTGGTACCAAAACAGACATATAGACCAATAGAACAGAACAGAGGTCTCAGAGGCAACACAACATATCTACAACCATCTGATCTTTGACAAACCAGACAAAAACAAGCAATAGGGAAAGGATTCCCTGTTTAATAAATGGTGTTGGAAAAACTGGCTAGCCATGTGCAGAAAGCAGAAACTGGACCCCTTCCTGACACCTTACACTAAAATTAACTCCAGATGGATTAAAGACTTAAACATAAGACCTAACACCATAAAAACCCTAGAAGAAAATCTAGGCAAAACCATTCAGGACGTAGGTGTAGGCAAGGACTTCATGACCAAAACACCAAAAGCATTGACAACAAAAGCCAAAATAGACAAATGGGACCTAATCAAACTCCACAGCTTTTGCACAGCAAAAGAAACAGTCATTAGAGTGAATCGGCAACCAACAGAATGGGAAAAAATTTTTGCAGTCTACCCATCTGACAAAGGGCTGATATCCAGAATTTACAAAGAACTAAAACAGATTTACAAGAAAAAAACTAACAAGCCCATTCAAAAGTGGGCAAAGGATATGAACAGACACTTTACAAAAGAAGACATACATGAAGCCAACAAACATATGAAAAAATGCTCATCATCACTGGTCATCTGAGAAATGCAAATCAAAACAACATTGAGATACCATCTCACGCCAGTTAGAATGGCGATCATTAAAAAATCTGGAGACAACAGATGCTGGAGAGGATGTGGAGAAATAGGAACACTTTTGCACTGTTGGTGGGAGTGTAAATTAGTTCAACCATTGTGGAAGACAGTGTGGCGATTCCTCAAGGACCTAGAAATAGAAATTCCATTTGACCCAGCAATCCCATTACTGGGTATATATCCAAAGGATTACAAATTGTTCTACTATAAGGACACGTGCACACAAATGTTCATTGCAGCACTGCTTACAATAGCAAAGACCTGGAACCAACCCAAATGCCAATCGACAATAGATTGGATAGGGAAAATGTGGCACATATACACTATGGAATATTATGCAGCCATCAAAAACCATGAGTTTGGGTCCTTTGTAGGGACATGGATGAACCTGGAAACCATCATTCTCAGCAAACTGACAGAAGAGCAGAAGATCAAATACCGCATGTTCTCACTCATAGGCGGGTGTTGAACAATGAGAGCACATGGACACAGGGAGGGGAGCACTACACACTGGGGTCAGTTGGGGGGAAATAGGGGAGGGACGGTGGGGGGTGGGGAGCTGGGGAGAGATAGCAAGGGGAGAGATGCCAGATGTAGGTGATGGGGAGGAAGGCAGCAAATCACACTGCCATGTGTGTACCTATGCAACAATTTTGCATGTTCTTCACATGTACCCCAAAACCTAAAATGCAATAAAATAAATGGGGAAAAAAAAAAGATAACCAAAAAAAAAAAAAAAAAAAAAAACCCTAAACTTGGCAGCTGCATGGTCAAAAAAAAAAAAAAAAATAATTGCTTATTTAAAAAAAAAAAAAAAAAGCAATTATAAACAACTTTATGCCAATAAATTAACAAATTCATTGAAAGGCCCTGATACGGTTTGGCTCTGTGTCCCCACTCAAATCTCATGTTGAATTGTAATCCCCAGTGTTGGATAAGGGGCCTGGTGTGGGGGGGTGACTGGGTCAGAGGGATAAATTTCCCCCTTGTTCTCATCTGGTTGTTTTAAAGTGCATAGCACTTCCCACTTCTGTCTCCCACTGGCCATATGAAGATACACTTGCTTCCCCTTCATCTTCCACCATGAGTGTAAGTTTCCTGAGGCCTCCCCAGTCATGCTTCCTGTACAGCCTGTGGAACTGTGAGCCAATTAAACCTCTTTTCTTTATAAATTACCCAGTCTCAGGTAGTTCTTTACAGCAATGTGAGAACAGACTAATACAGAAAATTGGTACCAGAGAAGTAGGTCATTGCTATCAAGACACCTGAAAATGTAGAACTGACTTGAGAACTAGGTAATGTACAGAGATTGGAATGGGTTGCCTTTTCACTCTAATTGTTTTCTCAGAAATCTACAAATCTCTACTTTTTTTTTTTTTTTTAGTGACATGGTCTGGCTGTATTGCCCAGGCAATATTGTACAGTGGTGTGATCTCAGCTCACTGCAGCTTCTGCTTCCCAGGCTTAAGCCATCCTCTAACCTCTGCCTCCTAAGTAGCTGCGACCACAGGTGCACACCACCACACCCAGCTACATTTTGTTATTTTTGTAGAGACGGGGTTTTGCCATACAGATTTTACCTCCTTGGTTAAATTTATTTCTATGTATTTCATCTTTTTTGATACTTTTGTAAATGAAATTGTTTACTTTTCAAATACTTTATTGTTAGTGTATAGAAATGCTATTGTTTTTATGTGTTGGTTTTATATCCTACAGCTTTGCTGTATTTATTTATTAGTTCAAACAGTTTTTTGCTGGAGCTGTTAAGAGTTTTTTTTTCTCTCTCTCTCTCTACACACACACACACACACACACACACACACACACACACACACACATATATTTTTATGTTAAGGGATATATTTTTCATTTAAGATCAGGAACAAGAAAGCATGTCATCAGCAGTGAGTTTCACCTCTGCTTTTTCTGTTTGGATGCCTTTTATTTCTTTCTCTTGCCTAATTGATCTGACGAGAACTTTCAATACAGTATTAAATAGATATGATGAGGGCGGGCATCACTGTCTTGTTCCTGATCTTAAATGAAAAATATATCCCTTAACATCAAAATTAATTGGTAAAAGACTAAATGCTTTCCCCTAAAATCAGAAACAAGGAAAAAATGTTCACTCCCACCACTTCTATCCAATATTGTACCGGAAGTTCTATTCTATGCAATAGAGGAAGAGAAAGAAATAAAAGGTATCCAGATTAGAAAGGAAAAAGTCTAACTGATCTTACTTGTAAATGACATAATTGTCTCTTTAGGAATTCCAGTAGAGTAGAATCAAATCTTCTAAAGCAACTAATACTAATAAGTGAGTTTAGTGTCTCCATGATAAAGGTAAATTTTAAAAATCAACAGTATTTCTATAGCCTAGTAACTAACAATTAGAACTGAAAGTTTTTTCAAAACCATCATCAATATGACATACTTTTAAGAATAAATCTGACAAAAGACCTACAAGCTGAAAACTAAAAATCCATGCTGAGAGAAATTAGAGACCACTTACATAAATGGAGAAATATATCTTACTCACAGGTCTAAAAAGACTAGATAGTGTTAAGATGTTAATTCTCTCTAACTCCATCTGCAGGCTTTTTTGTTGAAATTGACAAGTGACTCTAAAATACATATGGAAATATAAAGAACCTATATAGCCAAAGCAACTTGGTGGGATACAAAAAACAAAGGTGGAACATTATTACTACCTGATTTTAAGACTTACTATAAGTTTAGCAACAGTAACCAAGACAACATGGTGTTGGCACCATGATCAACATTTATAGACAACTATAACAAAGCTGCACAGGCAATTCAGTGGCAAAACAATACCCTTTCAACAGTTAGGTACTGGAGTGATTGTACTTCCATATACAAAATAAACTTGGACTTATATTGATGATGGATACCCCTCACGATATACAAAAATTAACTGAAAACTGTCATGATAGTTTTGATCACAACTCAAAACTGCATAGATCTAAAGGCAAAATATATATTCCCTTAATGATATTTTACCTACAGTGTTCATCTTTTATTTATACTGTGTTAATGTCTCCTTTAATATTCTGTTTTGTGTTTTCAGATACAATTGAGCTAATAGAGACTTCTAAGTATCTATTTAATTTTTAAAAAATCTTTTTGCTATAGCATCTCACACAAGATTCCATCAATTCCTTCAACAACAGTAAACTTTGAAATGTATCAAAAAAAGATGATGCTAAAAATAATTTTAAAAAAAATTTGGTTGTTTACCTATTGCTGTTTCTGGCATGGCAAAAAGACACTTTTCTGTAGCCACTCGAAATTGCCCATGGACTGAAAGACCAACTCCCTGGGGGAAAAAGAGGCAAAAAAAGGTGGGGTGGGGGATTAAACATATTGTTAAAAAACAAATTCACACATTCACAAATATTACAAAGCAAGTAAATTATCTTTATACTCCACAGGAACCCGCTTCAGGAGATAGGTTGTACCCAACATCTTCAATTAATTTTGAATTCCACAAACATCACACGACTATATTTCCCTTTATTAAACATTTACATACAAAGGTAAAGTCTGACCACACCCCCATCCTAGTCTGATCATTCTCTTTCTCCACAGAGACACATAGCTATTATCAATTTGGTAAGTAACCTACAGATTTTTTCCCTGTGTATTTCTTATATTTGAACAAATGTGTATATTATCTGATATATATTTAAGAATATATACAACTATACATACATAAAATTCATACTCTTCCATGGCCTGCAAGGCTCTGTATCACCTGGCCTAGACTACCTCTTTGCCTTTATCTCCCATCACTCTTCCTGCACTCATTCCACTAGCCATGCAAGCTTTGTGCCATTCCTCCAAAATTTTAAGCTTTTACAATTTCAATTAATCATAAAACTTATTTTTGGAGATGGAGTCTCACTCTGTCACCCAGGCTAGAGTGCAGTGGCTCAATCTCTGCTCACAGCAACCTCCACCTCCCGGGTTCAAGCAATTCTCCTGCCTCAGCCTCTTGAGTAGTTGGGATTATAGACACCCACCGCCGTGCCCAGCTAATTTTTGTATTTTTAGTAGAGATAGGTTTCACCATGTTGGCCAGGCTGGTCTCGAGCTCCTGACCTCCGGTGATCTGCCCAACGTGGGCACCTCAGCCTCACAAAGTGTTGGGATTACAGGCGTGAGCCATATCATCCAGCCAATCATAAAACTTCTAAAGTAAGGAAGACATATTAGAGAAGGCTACTGCCTGATCAATCACTGTTTTTTCTCTAAGGGAATCTGCTCTGCCTAGAGACTTTTTTTCTTTTTCCCAGCAGGCACTGAACTAGGGATGGGCAACGGACCCAAGGGCAGCCAATGGATGTTAACCAGAATTCAGAGGCCTGGGAAGTAAAGGCACAGGGGTGAATCAGACAAGGTTCCTTACTCTTAGGTACTGAAACTAAAACACAGTGCACAACTGTCTGTCGATGACAGGCAGTGAAGCTTAAAGGTCATCTGACATTGGAGCTAAAGATGGCATGATAGCCAAATAAAAGCTGAAATTATATGCAGTAGAGGAAAAAAAAACGTGAGAATGCTGCAGTCTATACAAGATGGAAGACAAAATAAATATATAAAAAGATTCAGAGATAGAAAAATAAACACACGAATTTGCCTGAAGCCCACACCTGCAGCCCAATTTTCAGGAAGATAAGCTATGTTGTGGCTTTTGTCTTTGGATTCCCATTTGGTCCCTGAAGTTGTCTAATAACTGCCCCATTCTCTTCTGTGGATCTACTTGAGGGAGTCTCTGTTCTTTCCAATTAAAATGTCTTCACCACATTTTTAGTTAGAACCAGACCTAGATCCTGTCATCAGCATCACACAACATAAGCCCTTCAACCCCAGTATATATTCACTGCAATACTGTTCTGTGCTTTCCCTCCCAACACAACCTCCTAACACTGCTGTCCCTGACTAGCCATTCCCATCACATCTTCTGGAATCGTCATTCCTTTACAAAAGAACAACCTAACAGACCAAATTCTCTACAGAGGGCCCTCTCTACCTCCTGAACTCTATGGAAAAAGAAACTTAGAAGCTCATATTACTTCACATAGACTCTACAGATCCATACATGGTAACTGATTCACTGATTCCATTCTTTATCTTATGTTACATAGTATATTTTGTTTCAGCATTGGCTGTTAATAATGAAAAAAAAGACATCAAGTTTTGAGTAAAAAGTTATTAATGAAAAACAGAATAAGAGACCACTGACATAAGTATAATTAAGAGCCAATTTTAAAGCCTTTCAATAAAGATGAAGCCTTGAAATAGTCAAGTCACTTCACTTGAAGATACTAGGAATATGCCGAACCATGTCGAATGAGGTGTAAAACCTTGATGGCAGATTCATAACTAATTTTTCTATCTTGCATCAAAGAATGTATTATAGGTTACTGGTAAGAAGTACCTCTTAATGTCTGAAATTTTGTCTTCCATTTTATTTGACCCTTAATCTCAGCTGATACTCCTTTGCTAAAGTCTCCAGAGTCAGGTTTTATTGTATTAGCTAATTTTTATACAGATACATTCTCCAAGTGTAATACTTTATTCCAACTCCTACTCTCCTCAAATACTCTCCCCAAAACCTATCAAACTCAGTAGTCAAATCTCATTTTTCACCTAACTGAATACTATCTATCTCAGTAATATCTGATAGAGTTGCTCATTCCTACTTTATGAAAGGCTTTACTGGGCTTTGAGACACCATACATTCCTGTTTTAAAATCTAATTAATTAGTTGCTCTTTCACTTCTCCCTGATATCAAAGTGTTGATTTGTCACAATAATTAGATGCCATCCTTTCATTCCCCTTCACTCTACTCCAATGTATTCTGCCCTGTCTACATTCATTCCCTAGGAGATCTCTTCCAGCCCTAGGATTTTAAGCACCACTGAAAACACCAATCAATTATTTCCCCATCCCTAATTTCTCTACTCAGCTATTTAACATCTCATTTTGAATGTCTAATAAGTATCTCAACCTTCACATATCAAAAGTAAATCTGATTTCTCCTTGAGTATGCTCCTTTCTCTGTCTTCACCTCAGTAAATAGCACCACAATTCACCCAGCTGCTCAGGCCAAACATCTCAGCGTTAACCGTCTTTCCTTCCTACCCAACAATGTAATCTATGAAATATTCTGACAGCTCTAATTTCAAAATATAACCTGGACTGGGCCACTTTTCACCATCCACACCATTCCAACCCTACTTGAAGCCTTTATCCACTCTTGCCTGGGCTGTTGTCTCTTGCTTCTATTCTTGCCACAACCTATCATCTCCATACCAAAGCACGCTTATTAAAAATGTAAAACATATCACGTGATTCTCCTGCCCAAAAGTCTCCAGTGACTTCCTATCACACTAAAATATTAACATGGCTGATGATCTGGTCCCTTTCTACCTCCCTGATTTTATGGTCTATCCATTCCCCACTTTCACTCCAGTAAGCCACACAGGCTTTTTCTAGCTTTTTTGACGTATAATATCCACTTAAATGTACATAAACAGTAACAAATATAGTAGGCATACAGTTTCAATGAATTATCCAAATGAACACACCCATGTGACCAAAACCCAGATAAAAACTATCAGAAATTGCTTTACGCACCCTGTCACTACATCCTCCATCCTTCAAGTAGCTACTATTTTGACCTCTAATGAAGAATTAGAGTTTTTTCTGGTTTATCTGGATATAAATAGAATCACAGAATATATATTACTATCTGACTTCTTTCAGTCAACATCATGTTTGTGAGATTTTATGTTATTGTATATAGCAGTAATTTGTACTTTTTCATTGTATAGCATCCCTTTGTATGAATAAACAATTTGTTAAGCCATTCTAATATAAATGGCTATTTGGGTTGTCTCCAGTTTTGGGCTACTGCAAATAACAATTCAGTGGCCATTCTTCTGAATGTATTTTGGTCAGATATATATATCAGAAAGTAAAAGTGTCGGGTGAAGAGTATTAATCAGCTGGGTGTGGTGGCTCATGTCTGTAGTCCTAGCACTTTGGGAGGTCAAGGTAGGACTGAGGTCAGGAGTTCGACACCAGCCTGCCTGTTCAACATGGTGAAACCCTGTCTCTACTAAAAATACAAAAATTAGCTGGGTGTGGTGGCATGCACCTGTAATCCCAGCTACTTGGGGGGCTGAGGCAGGAGAATCACTTGAACCTGGGAGGTGGAAGTTGCAGTGAGTCAGGACTGCACCACTGCACTCCAGCCTGGAAAAAGACCAAGACTCCATCTTAAAAAAAACACACAGGGCATTATTAACTCATTCAACTTTAAAAGATATCAAAACAATTTTCCTAAGCGGCAGTGCAAATTTCTACTCCACTAGCTGTATGTGAGTTTGTTGTTCTACATCCTGACCAACACTTGAAGATGTCTTTCACATTTTAGCCATTCTAATGACTATATGTTAGTATTTTACAGCAGTTTTAATTTGCATGTCCTTGATGATTAATGCAGTTGAGAGCTTTTTCAGGTTTATCAGCTATCTGGGTATCCTCTTTGTGGAACATCTGTTCTAATCTTTTGCTCCTTTTTTATACTGGATTTTGGAATTAACTGGTAGAAATTCTTTATATATTCTAGACATGATTCCCTTATCAGATGTATACCAAATATCTTTTCAGTCTGCAGCTTGCCTTTTCAATCTTTCAAGGATGTCTTGGAATGAACAGAAATTCTCATTCTTAACACATTACAATTTGTTCATTTTGCTTATGGTACATTTAAGTAATATTTAAGTGTGTTCTTTAAGTAATCCCTCCCTACTCCCTGGGGCTGAAATTTTCTTTGTGAAAAGGTTTCTAAAGATTTACTTTCCATTAACTGTTATGAATTCAATTTCATTAAGTCATAGAATTAAGATGCTTTATGACTTAGATACATAAAAATTTGTCCATTCATCAAAATTTTGAAATATATGAGCATAAACTTGTATATAACACTGCCCTGTAATCTTTTTAATGACTATGGGTTCTATAGTGATGTGCTATTTTTTTCTATATTTGTAACATATTTTGCTTTTATCTTTATCAACTTATCACTAACGATTTATCAGTTTTATTCGTCTACAAAAATAATTTTCTGCTTTAATTATACTGTTTATTGATTTTGTTTTTTTTTAATTATTATTTCATTGTGATGTCATACAAAAGTTACTGCTCCTGTGCCAAACATTTGGGACTTCCCCATTTTCTTTCTATTATGGATTGCAAGCTTAATTCTACTGGGGCCAGATATTATCTTCTGTAAGACTAATCCT